AAGAGACAGATATTAGGTATGTTCTGAAATGTCAAGTTTCTACATTCTTAACTCGGGCCTTTTTATGAACTCCTGGCCTCAGTTAAACATAGAGGGAAGCTCTCTCCCAAACCCTGCTCACCTCCATTGATGGTACTGTATGCACTCCATAACAAACGAGAGGTGTTACAAGTCATTCAATCAAGCATTGGAATTCATATTACCACAATATTTTGCTGTGTCAAATTCATGCCTGAGTGCATAAAATTTATCAAAATGAAAATACATTTTTAAGTATATACTTTTTACTTCTTTTGCTTCACTACTTCTCAAGACACAAAATCATACTGAATGAACAACATCAACAAATTACAACAATGATAAATAATATATCAGGTGTCAAAGCATATACAGTAAATTACCTTTAGTACCAATAGAACAAAAAATATGGAAATACGGATCAGTAGTAATTCACTCCCTGGGGTAGCTTTTCTATAGTGAAGCAGCAAACACAGCATTAAACCATGAAGGCATAATTAAACCTACTACTAAACCAGGAAACATCAATTACTGCAAAGTGACACATTGTCGGTATAATTTTTAAGCTAAAGGCGAGACTTCTTTCAAACCTTGTTTAGCGAACTGTCCGAACGACAAAAATGGTGATTTTTGAATAAAATAAAATGTCTCTTTTGGCCAGTTAGCGCACCACGAAAAAGAAATTTCATAAAGGAATAAAATGTGTCCTTTCTTACTTGTATTAAAAAGGGAATTGCGTTTTAAAGGTTTAGCCTTCTGCTACGTCTCCTTTTTTCACTTAAGGTGCTCTCACCTGTTTACATTTATATTTTGTTCAATATCTATTTTGTAATTTGCTGTAAATGTGTGAGAATAAAAGTGAATTGAATTGAATTGAAGTGCCCAATAGCTAAAGGAGAAAGATATGAATATACAAAAGAAATTCCACACATAGGAGTGAAGTAGTATTATGCAAGACAGCACACTCTTTTTTTTTCTATCATAAAGTCAAACACTCAGATTTTGCTGTTTTCATATTTTTTTTAAATAATTGTACTATGAACCAGCATCAGTGATCATACTTTAATGCCTTGAGTGATGTAGCAATCATTAATTGAGAGCACCAAATTGGTTGCAGGGCGCCAATACACCAGCAACAATTACATTAATTAAATTAATTTAATTAAATTGTAATCACTAATATGCACTCAAAGCCTCAAATGCATCATAACAAAGGGGGGTGGCAGACAATTATCAATTCACCCACAAATTAATTATTCATTAATATCAATTAACAGCTAATTTCTAAGAAAACTTCCAATAGTCAGACTTCAAATTAAATTACAAACAGTCTTTATGTATATATCTATAACTATTGTAGGACATCTGGATCCACTTACAGTCATTAACATTATTTCATCAATTATCGTCTCCACTCTATGATTAAAAAAAAAACCATTTTGACATGACCCACAATAATCTTCCAAATCAGCTAATTAGTTTTTCCATATGGGCACACTGTAATCAAAGCTAATTGGAACCTAGTAAGTATGCTGCAAACAACACACACAGACTGTAATGTCAAATAACAAGAAACGCTGTCAACATAATCAGAAAACCATGTCAAGATAAACCATTTCAACACTTGCATGTACATTTAAAGAGGAAAATGTGACACATCTCAACAAGAAAACCATTGATGAATAGGTAAAAAAAATGGAGAACACTTTGATATAAAAACAGGGAATTATATGTACATGTACATTTAAAAATATGTAAATACAGTACCTCAAATTACCTAGGAAGCACCAAAAAAAAAAACGTAATCACAGAAAACGTAAGCTTAAGCATGTCAGTTATAAATAAATAAAAGTGCTGCAAACACAAAAGCGGAAAAAAGCTGTGCAAAAGAGGCTCTGGCAATAGACCTTTCCGGAGTGTCCTTCAAAATTAACAACTAACTATAAGAACAAAGCCAGAAATATGGGTGTCCTACCTACACATGTCCTGTCCCACAAACCCTGTGTGTGCATATGTCTTAACACTTTCTATTGTGGGACCTTAATTAACAATTTATCTAAGGGGAATTTTATTCTTCTGCACAATCATTCACTAATCTTAGTAATTCATAAATTCCACTACTTGCCTGATAAACATGGCTAATGATTTATGTATTAGGAAATATTTTATAAACATTATATTCTTGATTAAATTGTATATATTTAATAATAATCATTATGATTATCATCTTATACAGCTTATCATCGGCAATGACAAAAAGATAATTTGTTCTTTATATTATTTAAAGGTTCTTCTGATCAATCAATCAATCAATCAATCAGTCAATCAACAAGGATTTGTAGCACCAATAATGCAATGTTCAGAGGGGCTAAGACAATGTTCCAAGTCATTTCATTATCAGCGCACCCTAAAATTATTCAGGATTCAAAGACTTTATTATTCCGCAAGTCATTGAGGGCTATTATCCACTTCAATTCAAACCAATCACTATATATATCAACTGGTATTAACACACATACATATTTACATTTAGCATTTAATACATAATTGAGGACAAGTAAAATGCAATAAATCTCCAAGCCTAATGCCATTCCTCACCGCTGAGTGTAAGGGACTCTGCTCTAGCCCATTCAAGCATTACAGGAAGACATCTTTCTTTCTTTCATCCTAAGACGACTCCTTCAAAAAGTGCAAAAGAATGACATTTGACCAATTTTGTTGACTTCTAATACACCAATAAAAATAGTGGAGATGTAGCCTAAAGCCTGTTAAAGCAAGTGGAAGACAAGGTTAATGGTTGAGATGCATGCTTTCCAATACACCTGCATTTTGGATTACAGGAAGGCATCTTTCTGATCTGTAGAAGTCTTCTAATGTCATCCTAAGATAACTCCTTTAAAAAGTGCAAAAGAATGACCTCTGACCAATGTTATTGAGTTCTAATACACCAACAATAATAAGAATAGTGGAGATGCATCTTAATGGTTGAGATGCATGATTTTCAATAAACCTGGTTTCTTTCCTATGACTATAAAACACATTTCCAGTAATTAGGCTTGTATTATGAGATTTATTTTATAAAGAACTACTTTCTTTCATTAAGAGGCCTAATGAATATGAGCCGACCTACTGTACAATATGTTAGAATGGTCACCCTCTATAAATACAGTATGGATTTTTTAATTAAAAATAATAAAAATAATAATTTAGAAGCAATTAAAGAACACAATTATGGACCAATATTAATATATTTACTGGCAAAGTTCATTGTTATGGTTTTCTTATCATACATACACAAACTTACACACTCGCAGTAGTTGTACCATTGTACCAAACCTGAACACATTGTTTAATAAATATTACTCTGTTTTTGCCAAAGGGCCAAAGTGAGTCAAGTCTTCTTGTATTCCGCCATTGTTCAACATGCTGAAGATTCTGCAGCTTAATGCGCGTGGGCAGGCTTCCTGACTTTACCCCAAAATTCTGTTTTCTGTTTTCTTTTCCACCACTTGTACATTCTTGTTTAATTTTGTCTCCCCAACCTTCAGAAATATCTCTGACATATTCATTAATTACAGGAAAACCTCTTTATTATTATCTTTTATTTTAATATTTTATCTTTTACTAAATTCTAGTTTTGTTAATTTAGTTTCTTATGTAATGTTTTTCTTTTCAGTTCCATAACCTAAAAATATATACAAAATGTGATTATTTTCACCATTATATCTTTGACCATTATTAAATAAAGGTTATACTGAATTGAATTGCATATTATTATTTCTTAATCCTGATGTGCTCTGTGGTGGCAGGGTTAGTAATCCCCAAGGCCGCACACGGATGTGATCTACCTTCACTAATGTCATTTAATGTAATTTTGATTGAACTGTAATCTGTTCTTTCATTATAATGAGCTATACGATGGAAAAAAAATAATGCAGTCATTAGTGTTTTTCATGATAAAATGAACTAGTGCTTAGCAGGGTGCAATATTCACTGAACAGTGAAATAGAAAATTTACACCAAATATTGTTTTATATTACAATTCAAATTGCATTCTAACCTATATGTGGTCCACAGGTATTAAATATGTCTATAAATATGTATTGCTTGTGTGTGAAATTAGTTATATTACTATAAATACTACGGTTATATGCAGTAGGCATTCTACTTGCTGCACCATGAAACAAAAACTAGGGCAGATCCAGAGATGTCCGAAAGGAGGGGCCAAAAATGGGGCAGATCGAGATAACACCATCCTAGGGGGTCCAAGGGAATTCTCTCACAAATTCTTTGTTTTCTAGTTGCCCGAAAATAACCTCTGAGGCGTTTTGGGCAATCTTTTTTTTCTTTTTGAACTTTCCAAAAGGGCTAGCCCGGTCACCTTCCCCCACTTAATCTTAAAAGACATTGTGTTATTCTGTGTCATGGATTGGAAAAACTAACATTGAAACTAAATTGAGAAAATATTAACCAACAACCCAGCACACTATGACATTTGCAGAAATTGTAAGGCTAACAAAACAAATAAATATTAAAGGGATTCTTCTGCTTTTACACAAAATGCTAATTAGTAATAAAAAAAATAATAATATTAATATTCATCTTATAAGGCGCACGTATCCATCCCCAAGAGCTGCCCATGACACCAAATAGCAATAATGTTTTGCTTTCGGTAAAGAATTCGTTGACCTTTTTTTTTCTTGTTTTTTGGTTTCTTCCTATAGGATAGGCTAATTTAGTTAGCAGAATTACTAGAGCACCTGTGAGTACTGTTCCAGCTGGCCATGTGTCTCAAATTGCCAAAGAACGGTCCAGTGTTACTAATTTGCTTTTTATTTGATTCTTTGGTAAATTGTTTCTGATTTGTTTGAGGATAGTTTTCTCTTCTCTTTTTCATATTCTTTAAGAAAATGTTTTATTGTGTAAGGCGCATTTCCATTTCTATTTCCAAAATACTGTACTCTTTATAATGATCTGTACAATGTGTAATTCATTATAACCATCCCTTGGTTTCCGGTCCTTTAGTGCACTGATTTTTTTAGTTTATGAGCATCATATTATCAAATATCATACCACTTGTCTGCTCTAGATTTCCTCAATAAAGTGTGTTAATCCTAGTCTCATTAAATTTTGTTTCACCCTTTTACTTTGAAAGCTTCTTGCCTTTTTTAGGTTCCCTAAATCTGGACTAAATGTCACTAAAAATAGGTAATAAACTTTCTTCTTATACAATATTGTAACACTGAACCGACATTTTTTCCTTAAATCTATTATCAGAGACCAAGTTTATTTGACATGGAACACATAATACACCCATGTGAATCACAAACCCTACAAACATTATAGTTTGAATACTTATATTTCAATGACAATTGCTAATTCCAGAAGGAATGCACACTTAAGACATTAAATAAATTGAAAATGTCTCAATGAATATTAATTCTGTGGAAAAAGCAGTGAACAAAATACCATATTGTGCTATGGTTTGATGGCTACATGTTGTGCAAAATACATTTTACGTTTGTTTCTTATGAGGAGGATTTAAAGCAGCCTTCACGAGGCCCTCCCTGCAAGAAATCCTTTGTGAAACTAATGCATTGCTTTATACCTGCAATAGTAAATGCGAAAAGAAGATCCGAAACATTTTTTAGTCCCGAAACTGTCTTCTAAATAAGGATTCTACTGTATACAGCAACAAACAAAACAAAATTATGATGAAAATAAAAAGAATGTCTCGATATCAAAATTGCTGATCATAATGTGTGAGTTTCAAAATTTTTGGGAAGACATCAAAAAATTTAAAATGTTGAGTAAATTGTCTATTTCACTGAGAATCAATCAAACATGACCAAAATCAGCCAACATCTTTCATTCTCTGTAATACCCTCTATTGATAATAGGCCTAATTATTGCATTCCTAGTAAGTTTTTTACAGCATGCCAATTGCTAAAATGAATTTCCGGCTGATTTAATTTTTATTTTATTTTGACTATAAATAAGACCTGAAGTTACTATCATTACTGATGAGATACAGCCCAATATTTTAATGTCATGGAGGAATTTTATCTGGTTCTGTGTATAACTATAACTGGTTTTAATAGATATTTAAATAAACCATGAAAAACTTGCACCTGTGTTTGAAACATCGATAAACACTTTTACAGCATATCAACATTACAAGCTCAGATAACTAAGCATGTGGGGGGGGGGGCCGAGAACGGTCAGCAAGTGGCTCGAAACTCCCGACCACATGGTTCAGAATTGGATCTGACAGATCCTGAATGGAAATCACTCTGCTGAAATGCATTCCCCATATCAATGGGATGGGTATAATCTTAAAATAATTATATTAAAATGTCTTGTACAGATTCACATTTTAACAAGAAACAAATGGGAAAATGTATATAATGTGTAATATAACAAAATAGGCTCCCAGCCGGAGTGCGTGTCTACTGCTTGAAATAGTTTTTTTTTTTTTTTTTTTTTTTGCTACTTTCAACTCATCGACGCTTTCTGTGTTAGCAATTCACTTGAATAACTGTACAAGTATTACCAGATTGTTGACTTAGTGAACCTTCTAGGACAGGTCTTATCTAGCAGCTTTCTATGTTGGAAATTCACTTGAATAACTTAACTAAGACAGGTCTTATCTAGCATGGCATCATTATTTCGTGAACTTACTTTTCATTATTATCTTTAGCTTGTGACCCATCCCATCATTCCTTCACCACATTTACTATCGCAAGGTCAATGGACAGATGATAGCTATGTGTCTACACCCCCACCCCTCCTCCCAGGCTGTAAACACAAAAATCCAAATGGATACATCCCAAAAATAAGTGTTTAATATCCAATTTGTGTGAGAGTGCAATTGTCAGGCATTTGAAGGTGCCATATTCTTGCAATTATGCTTACCTCAGCAATAACTTTGGTGGGACGGAAGTGGGCATCAACACTCCAATAGGCAGTACCTCCCCGTGAGCACATGTGAGTGGACCCCAAGGTTGGGAAAGGGAACCAGAACCAGGGTTGTAGACAAACCTGAGTTAACTTGGTGAATTTAAACTTTACCTCTTTGTCCAGGTTTGGTCTTTGACATGCATCAATCCGTCTTTCAACCGTATTCAAATGATGTAAAAGTTTCTGAGCTTGTGAATTACTGTCAGCTACTTCTGCTTTAATCTTGACTTGTGTATTAGTCAACCAGCGAGTAAGCTTCTCAACAAATGTCAAGTCAAACAGATGATGCTTGAACCTGTAAAAACACATCATGCAATACTTTTGTTATGCTCAAGCTTTGCTCAGCAAAACTATAAAAGCAGTTACGTTGTTTTGCCACAGGACGGCTGCATGGTGAGCTCAATATTCTACTTTGGAAAAGATTCTAAATAATACAACTTAAAATAATATAATTAAAAGGGCGTTCTAGAACAAATTAATACTTTAACATATGTCACAAAGGCAAGCCAAACCAGTCACTTGTCCCAAATTGTGTTTCAGCAAAAATGGCCAAAACATGCTGGAGTGTCAAAATTTTTAAAATCTACTTTCTGCATGAGAAATGCCCAAAATCATAAACTTTGAAGGCTGATTTCTCACATATTTTTCTTTAAATAGCTGTATGTTTAAACGCTAATAACTTCATAAAGAAATGTTGGATTTGAAATATTTTAAAACTCTTACTTTACTGCGTATTAATAACTCAAAATCGATTTTGTGTGACTGGTTTGGCTTGTCTTTGCCACACATTATATATAATCTCAATCACTTTTATTCATGTCATAATACAAAATACATACATAAAAAGCTTGATATGAAATGAAAAGCACATTTCAAAACTTATTAAATTGCCAAGAATGACAAAGATAACATTAAAAGCATATACAAACAAGTAAATTGGCAACAGATTCAACGTTTGCATGAATTTTTTCTTACCTATCTTCAAACTTGGTAGCAATTTCTGATGCTTGTTGTAAGCGTCTTGCCTCCATTCCTTCGAGGTCTGCCATCACAAATCCTTCAGCTGAATCAATCTTCGTTGCAAGTTTTTCCAACTTTTTCTTGTAACCATCTATCTCTTCTGGGCAGAAATTGCCTCCATCAGAGAACAACCTAAGTGATTAAAATAATTTAATTATCTTAATCATTTATAACTATTATAAGATTATGACATTGCCCTGAACTAATGTAAATAATAAATGTTGCATTCATGATTCAAATAAAGATGTCAATACACTTACTTGAAAGATCTAATAAATCTTGCATTTGACTCTCGTAACATTTGAAGGGTGTCATCTAAGTATTGACGAAACTGGCGGAGGGAAGCCCTGATTACCTGCATGTAACTCTCAAGTTTTGTACTCACTTGAGTGGAGAGTACCGACAACCTAGTAAAGAAAATATGAAAAGTCAGAAGATGATCTAAAGCCGGTCACTCACTGCATCATAGTATTGTCATACAACTGTCGTATGAAGAATACAACTACTATGAGCGCTAGACAGTGTGACACCATCTGTTTACTGTTGGTGGCAGTCTGTGCTAATCATCATTAAAAAAGACCTGTTGCATGCGCATCGAGGCGTTGTGTTCTCCATAGAATGGTGTGTCTGGCACAATGCAACGCTTAAAGCAACGTTTTGCAAACTTTGGGTCGTGACCCACCAGTCGGTCACCAAAACATTTTGGTGGGTTGCAAAAACACGGCAGGAATGATCAAAATTAGCCAGCTTAAATTCTGTCTCTTAATATTGTAGACATTACAATAATTTGAAACATTATGTTGTAAAATTGCAATGAAGACATCAATCTGTATATACTTTATTGTTTATTTGCTCTAATACAACAAAGTAAAATGCGACTACAATAATGTTAGTACATTATGATTTTGTCGTAATATATTTTCAGGGGTCCCAAGTTGAAGAACGGGCGCATCGACTTTTAATAAACAAAATGTATATTTTGATTCCATGTTTTCAGCAGCTACCGAAATTAAAATGCAAATGCATTAAAAACAGTGACGGTAGGGAGTGGAATAAACTTATTTGTGATTGTTTACGACTGTTTTTTAACATCCTGATTCATGTTTTTACCTAGGCCTAGGCTGGAGCTGATCTTCAAAATTAAATATTTAAATATTGGAGAGAAATCAGCTTAGCTCAGTCAGCTAATCTGGTGGTAGCCACTGTGTGTGCGCTGAACCGTGGAGATCTCTATGTCCCTGGTTCAAATCCCATCGCTGCCTCTGCTTGTGTTTCAGCTGGAGGGCTGAAATACAAGTTACAATAGCACACCGTCTTTCTGGAAATAAGTCTTCTTCTAGACTTTCGTGGGCTATCCTTGGTGTTTACACCGAATAAATCCACTCCAATCAAAGTTTTCAAAAATTTATGGGAGAATTGTTTTCATGCAGTAGAAAAACGTAGGCTTACGGTAGCGTGGTAGATCGTCGCGAAAAGCAGTAGACTACTGCAAGTAGCAGTAGACTTGGGATCTATGTTTATGCATTGTTCAATTATTTTAATCTATATTTAAATCCCAGTCCCAAAATGGTAAACTGGAGCTGACTCTATGAATGATTAGGCATGTGCGAATAAGTGGTAAGCTGATGTGATTCATGTCTCAATTTCCAAACTGGGTCGTCAGTCTAAAAGTTCGCGGAAAGCTGACCTAAATTGTATCCGAGGGCAGTTTACAATTTTAAAATCCATATATACTTCCATATGGTACATAAATTTCATAACAAATATAATTTGAAATCATACTAAATGGTTGTGGAAGAGACAATGTGAGGTGCCTTGCCTTGGGGCATACGCAAAATGGAAAATTGAAGTATTCAAACCTCAAATGAATACTGAGAGCCTAAAGTCTGCAACAATCACTCTATATAAAATAGGATAAGAAATAGGTTAGTGTTATCTGCTTTACAACTTACATGGATGATTTCGTGGCATTAACAAAAATCGATTCCAATGAGTCAATTTCTTCTTTAAAGTCATCTGCCAGTTTATCATGTTCATGTTGCATGTTAACGAAGCGATCCTTACAGTCTTTGAGAGCTGCGGTAATACCCCTGGAGTGACGTGATACACGCTCCTGGTGCATCACCAACTCCGCTGCCCTCACGTTGTGAATATCCAACTCTGCTCGCCGTGAACGCGGGCCGTGCAAGTGCAGTCTTAGATCAAGTTCACTGTTCAATTCTTCAATCTGTTTAGCAAAAACATCACACAGAAAAAAAAAATTGTTTAGATCATATCGTATACCGTATCATTTATTTCACTAATGCAAATATAAGAAAAATAATTATGGCTAGAACTGGCCAAAATCATAACAAACATTGTTGGCACAGGGACCTCTTCATAGTAGAGCGGCAATAGCATATATTCGAATGTGAAGTATCATCTCTTTACTAAAAAAATGTACTTATTTTGAGAGCACAAAATACAAATTTAATTTTTTATAAATAGGAAAATCCACCAAAATCACATCATTACAAAAAGATAAAATTAACTTCAAAAAACATAGTTTTAGTAAATGAAAATTAATATTGTATGTTAAAAACAAGTTGATACAGAGACAGACTAGCACCCCGAGCCAAATCATTGGAAAACAGTTGAAAATGAGGAAATTTAAGATCTTTTTGAGTAAAATAAGCATTAGTTTGAGCAAACATTAGCGTTTGTCAAACTTTCAGGCCTTGATACCGTAAACATTTTCAGTACTTGAACACATCCCACCTACCAACTGGCCAGAACTCCCACTTCAAAGATCAAGTCTTAACATCAGGCAAATTTTAACATGACCATGCTGTATTTTGAAGTAAAATTACTGTTCTTATAGAATGTGATAGGATACAAACACGTCACCAACACTACTTGATTTTGGTTCAATGGACATACGATGCCAAAGTCAGATCTACTGGATTTTCAATAATTGGGTTATAAAATTCTGATTTAATAAGTACGATATCTTATTTCTAGATTTTGGTTTGACATGGTATCAGGTACACTACAACACAATTCAATGCACACCAGATCAAATTAAGATAAAATGGAAAATGACTAACTGATCTCTCTCTATCCCAGTTTGTATTGAGTGAACACATGAATTACATTTTGATGAAATATCAATTATTATTACTTTATTTTTATTTTATTTATTAAGGCACACACAAAAACTAAATCTCAATATGCTGTTTAGAGAGAGTGGAATTGTTTTTTGGTCGTGAGAAGAAATCCTGTAATAACACTGACAGGAATTGGACCCAGGGCCCCGTGGTAGGAAGGCCACCAAGATATTCAACTCAACTCCAGCTATTCAACTCTACTATTTTGACTATGTACGTTCAATCAATAACATACCATAATATTTGTAATATTGTATATCAAAAATATAGCTTTAGATATTCAATGTCTAAATACTGTTCAGTGACTGAAGGTTAAATTGGTGAAATAACAAAGATAAATGCTTGCGGTACACCACATCTATGTGGAGTACTGCAAGCATTTATCATTAGAACTCAAGGTCCCTGATACAGAACCTTTAATGATGCTAGCCTTGTACAATGGTGCTTATTAAATACAATGAATGTTAAATGTTACAGTACCTTGGCAGCAACGACGCTGTTTGCACGTTCTACAGCTTGAACAGACCACTCCTCAAGGTGATCGATGAACGCCATTCTCATTCTGTTGAAAAAATTCTTAAACTAAGTCATATTTCTTCGTATGCATGATACAAAAATATTCTTTGACACAGATATTATTTGGCACAGATCCAATAACAATACACGCAACAATAACAACATATAATTATTAATAACAATAAGTCATATTGTATAGTATGTATTAGTAGTAGCAGTAGTAATAAAACACTACGATAACAGTAAAAATAAAATTGTAATCATATAGCACTCTTACACAATAAACTTTAACTTTGGCCACCATACAGTATGTTATTGTTTGAGATGAGATGTTGGATATTTGAATAAATAAAGTGATATTTATTTATGTAATAATAAATATTGATGGATAATGATACTATTAATTTAAATAGTTGATTTTTTAATTGTTACATTCTCAGGGATTTTTGCCAAAAAATATAATTAGATTTGATTTCTGTACACAGTTACAGAAGTTTACTGCATCAACTACAGTGTAGATGTTTATAATTTTTGTCCCTCAAGTGCTGACAACCTCATTTTCATTGTTAAAATTATGACCAAAATTAGTAACTAATCACATTCATAAATAAAGTCAATGATGTATAAGGTATACTATTTTGTTTTACATGCACTAAATGAATATAAAGGTAAAAACATCCAATAATTTGTAGCGTCAATGTGGTGACTTTTGTACAGGAGAAGGGTTCACATCATTCCACAACAGAGGCTGAAATAAATCAAAGCTCTGAGGAAACGGGCCCCTATTCTTCCAAAAGATGCAATGAGTTCTTAAAGTGCACACAAGCCAGATGGACCCCCAGTTTTAAGCTGTTACCTGAGAAGACTTGGTTCTACCAGAGGAAGATCTAGAACTAGCACTAATTATAATGCTGTAGTTAGCTGCACTCCACCTGTCTGGCCAACTTGCCAGAGAAAATATAAGTACAGTATACTATGGTATATATATTTTTATTGAATTTTGGTAACTATTTTAAAGAAAATTTTAACAATGTAACTTAAATTTAGAGTAGAAGCAATTTTAACAAGGTAGATTAAAGCCATTCCTTTTTAGTACACTTTAATACAAACAATCAACTAACTTACTCCCTTCTGACTTGTTGGAACAACTCTTGGTCTATTATAACCTTCTCCATTACAGGCATCATATAGCTTGATGCTGGAGACTTCTCTAATGAATCAAGATCCATCAGCTCTGCATCTTTTTCTGGTTGGGGTGCGTCTTCAGATATCGTAAGAACATAAAATGTTGTTCCTTGCTTAGAGGAAAGCACCTCTTTGACTGCCAGTTGTGCCGGAGTACTCGGTGCACTTGAGGTGGAGTCTCGAGAGGTCACTGACACACTCTGTGAGTACAATGATACTTTGCATTATTCATACTTTATAAAAACCAGCTACAGCATAACACATATTGGTGGTAGAGTCTATTCACATTTACCCACTTTATAAGCGATTGATTGATTGATCGATCGATAAATTTAATGTAATGTCTGCTGTTAAACAAATTAGTAAAACAAAAACTTTAACACAAAAAATAAACTGAGTATTGGCACAATCATTAGTAAAAATAAATTTAGAAAAAAAAAATCAGAAACCTCGACCTCAAGATTGGAAAACCACAAGCAGCGCCACCACCCCCACCACCGCTTTTATAATAACAATATAATAATAATTACACTAATCTAGACTAGGTATTAATAATTTAATTACTTATTAGACGACCTTCCAAAAGAGACCAGAGCGTGAACACATATGAAACTTAATTATACAACACAAATAATTCACATGAATATAATTCATTGTGAGATGCGGATTAATATAAACACAAAAATTCTTAATTGAAGACGACGGAAATTAAATTCATATATTCTTAGATCAACATTGGATATGGTGCTACTGGCCCTAGATAATCAAGTCATTTTCGTTAATATAGCTCATAATGCAGTCTTGGCAGCAATCATATCCTCTGTTGATCTTGGGTCAAAACTAACATACAATTGCATGTCACCTGCACAATTATGAAAGGAAATATTAAGACGTCTAAAATTCCAGAATTGAAATATGTCGTAAAAATGGGTGGTCCAGCCATGGACCCTTGTGGAACAAAAAAACATATCGCAGGATTTGGAGGTTTCACCTACCCTATCATCTATTACAGTGCCTAGTTTGATAGGTTACTAACTTCTGTCACATTTACAACTACTCCCTGCATAGTGGTACATTCAATACCATATCTAAACTCCGTCCACACTATCAAAATTTCTTTGACAAAAAACTGTTGTGTGCCCATATATAGTCATGATGTGCCCATATATAGTCATGATGTGTCCATATATGGTCATGATGCAATGTCATCATGACCATTTTAGGTCACATGTTTTTGTTAAATAAAATATGATAGTCTTGACAGTGCTTAATAAATAGCTGACTACTTTTTAGTGCCATGTTCACACTATCCCTTTTTATGTCATAAATATGTGTGATTTACTCATACATGTACATAATGACGTCATATTAGGCTTGGGCCTTTATCTGTCACAGAGAACATGATAAATGTGGACAGAGATTAAGCCTGTTTGGGGATGATTTACTTTATACTCATAACATCCTTTCACACTTTCTAACAAAATTAATTTTTTGGTTAAAATCAAAATATTAAACTGAACATAAATTAGCAAAAAAAAAACATAATAGGAAATGTAAGTGAAAACAACCAGGAATTCTGTAAGCAAAAAAATGAAGTGAGTAGCTCTTGCCTCTTGCCTTAGTCTTACCCTTTTCATGATTTTCTTCCACCTATGCTTGGAATCGCCTAAAAAAACCTGAACCAAACATATACATTTAATTCTAATGACATCAGCTGTTAAAATGCTTACACCATGATTAAAATTATAATTTTCAACTAGATGTAAAGTGCTGTGCGTTTAAAACATTGCCTAAAAAAAGTAGAAGGCAACAGAATTTTACAGTATATTCTCGCGTATAAGGCGATCGGCGTATGAGTTTGAGAAGACTTTCGTATGTCGGCTAAATAAGACAACCACCTCTTTCACCGTTGAAATTCCTACTCTTTGCTGCATTTATGGTCTTGATACTGCATTTGGCAGGCTAAAAACAGAGCCAAATACAGCGCTAATCTTCCAAATAATGTAATACCATTTTATTGGATTTTAAATGTTCATCACAATCATATTTCCCCACATTTAAAATCTCATTATTCATACTTATAGTTAGCAACCTTTAGTAGTAAATGTTTGTGTAATCGGCAATACGCAAATAATTAAAATAAAACATCTGCATGCGTTGCACGTATAAGACGACCCCCCTGTTTTTCAATCGTAATTTGCTATTACGCAAGAATACACGGTAAAGATGTACTACTTCAAAAAAACTGAGATAGAGAAAGAGTTTCTTACAATGGCATATGTATTAAGGAAATGAAAGCTGTTTTTGCAATTTTTTACAAAAGGTGGGTAAATAGACTAACCCCAGATCTTGATTGCACACTTCTGTTTTCAGCTGGGCTTGGAGTTCCTTGGATACGTGAATTGGCAGCTATTCGTAATTGTCTCCTAAGTTTATTTTGTTCAGCGATCTCTTCATTCTGCTTCAGTTTTCTCTCCTATTAATAAATAAAGGTTTACTTCAATAGTTACAGTCGTACTTTTTTCGTAAGGCCAACTCAGACAGCGTCGTATGACCCAGCCCGACACGATTCGATGTTGGGGAAGGTCTTACGCTGTCGTGAGAAATATTAAACCTGTTCAATATTCCACGATGTGACTGTCTCCGATTCAAAGCATCACTTCTGCGTTTAACTCACACAGACCTAAGCAACAAAAAATCTTGTCAGGCTGTGTCGTACAACACTGTCTGAGTTGGCCTTTACATGCAGATTGTGTTCAGCCTTACACACATTACACAAAAATCAGAAGCACTCACATTGGGATGAAGTCTATCAACATCGAAGAACTTGCAGACAGACTGATCGTAACGTTGTAACTCATCTTGAACAAAATTTGGGTACTCCTTCACAATGCTGTGTTGCTGCTCGTGGAACTTGTAATAACTACAAAAAAATAATAATAAAATATCAAATACCACACGTGACAACCATGACAACAGGTCAGGTCAGCTAAACTAGATATACTGTGTGTGTGTTGAACCATGTAAATCCTTAAGATCAATTTCACATGTGGCAACTATTAGTTTTCTATACAAAAGTGAAAATTATCTGTACTCATTGTGATAGAGACCTATTCATTTTTAATAATTTTCTAAAATGCTACATCATTGAAAGTACTGCAAAACCAAGTGTTAATATTCCATTTTTTTTGTTGTTGTAAATATGTTTAAGGAAGCAAGAATGCTCTCAGTGATAATATGCTACGAACAATCATGATTGGCTCTGTTTGGAACATGTCTCAGCTACAAACAATTGATATTTCTTGCTTAAAAAAAGTTTTATATAAATTTCTTGGTTTAAATGTTTTTATTTTTATGTGTGATTTAACATTTTATATTATTTTCAAGGTTTTTCAAACGTAATTTTAAATGTTTATTGGTTTAATAATATGACATCATTACACCAAATTAACATCATCACAGTGTTAATAAATAGAGTTGGTATTTGGGAATGTGTAATTGGAAGATATTACTGTAATAGCTGTAAACAGTTTGCTCAAGCAAAGATAATAGAAGGAGAACATAAACCTGAACCAAAAATATTGAAACAACATCCGGGTTCCCCAGGCCCCCAACCTGATGGTGGTGCCCATCATATTATCTTTGATTCAATCAAGTTTGTTTGTTTCTTGTTTGTTTCTCCACTCCATCAAATAGTCCCCCGCTCATAGGAGGGCGGACGTTCTGTCTTTCTTTTCCTATACAAGTTCTTTGACTCGCGTCAACTTGAAATGTTTCCAGTCAATGACGGCCAGATGCCCACTCATGGGGATGACAAACTGCTATTGATGTTATCAAAAACTAGCATTGCTGTAGACAGCTTACCTGAATTTGATGTTATATAGGATGAGAATAGCTTTTGACAGCTTACCTGCTCTTGATGTTATCAAGGACTAGCATAGCTTTTAGCAGTTTATCTTTGAGTACTTCTTCAGTTGCTTCCTGCCTCATTCTATCCATAATGATATCAAGGTTGGCTTCAGTATCCTACAAAAGAGGAAAGCAGTATTTTTTATATAAATATAATAGATATTTTTCAATACATGAAATAAAATAACTGACAGAAGTTACATAAATTATATAAAACATCAAGAATATATTAGACAGGGATAAACAACTACATACAAACTGAATGTTGACAATAATAGTTTTACAATAGATCACACACGAACAAAAATTTTGTGTTGACAAACTAAATATTCAATTAATCACAAGAGATATTGCAAGTAACTCAGGTGCAAGTCAATTATCTTAAAAATTCCAGAGACCATTGGTTAAGTGGATGGGCTCATTCTATCCAAACCATGGTTTACAGTGCAAGATCTCTAGTTGACGTCTCATATTATTTGATTTTGTAGGATATAAAAGAAAATAAACCAAGAGCTGAACTGTAGCTTATCAACTTGTACTCAGCTCAAAGTAATAATGGAACTACATATTGTCATGTTGAATTGATTATTTTGAATTAAACATAATAATCTGCTTTTATATATCGCAAATTACAATACGATCTCTAAGTAGCTTTTGAGACATGATTTAAACAGTTTAAGTGAGGTGCAATCCACTACATCCTTTGGTAGCTGATTCCAATGGTCACTGTTGAAAGGTCCACTCTCCATATAAACAAAACTAAAATATATTGACGAAACTAACCTGATTTTGATTGTCATGTTCATGACGACATGCTTCTAACATTTCTTGCAGTTGACGTTCTCTTTTTGCCAATCCTATCTCATGAACATCCCAGAGATGCCCTGCGCCTTGTGCATATTTGAACAAGTGATGTAACTGACTTGAGTATGCCACTGACAAATTTTCCAAGGATTTCTAAAAGGAAAACAAAGCATCATAAAACCATACAAATACCTGGTGAATAACTAATCCTAATAAATATATACTAGCCAATAACATAGCAGTCGTGGGTCCAGGAATTCTAAATAGAGAGGCCCTAGCGAGGGACTTTCACAGATGGTTTTTGCTGAGGTAAGAAAAATCTATGGCACCTCTAGATGGCCGGAAATGGCACTTTCAGACTCCTATATTTGATTAATATTTTTTTTTTTCTCCATTTTTTATATTCTAATGCTGTCTCTTATACACATCTAGATGTGTATAAGAGACAGGGCCAGCTCAGTCCTCTTGAATTCGCCATTGCGTAGTAGTGAGGATTATCATATTCAGGATTTATTTGTCCTCACAAAAAATGGGATGCAAGTTACATGTGATGACTCAAACATTCTGTTTAATAGAGTGCGACATAAGCCATCTTCTTCATCCAGGCTTGTAACCAGGTTCATGGGAACAGGGCGGGAGGATGGTTCCTATAGATCAAATTTAACTCAGAAGTGTTTCTTTAATAAACAAAGTTCATGATAAAATACTACTACAGTAGTAAACTGATCAAAAAGGAGAGAAGTCCCTCCATCCAAGTCAAATGTTATGTGGGGCATGGTGTTACACTTAGACAGCCAAAAGGCTCTACAGAACATCAATGTCTCTCTATCTTCCACAGGGAGATCAGGGATTATAATTGCAACTATAAAGTGGTCAAGTTTAGCCAAAAGGGTGCACAAACAAATACTATATTTGTCTTCATAGAATAATTATTCTTATGTAATTATTCAATGTGATTTCCCATTTGTGGGAAGAATAAAGTTTCCTAGCATATTTGTATAATTCTTACATCCATTGTCTGCAGCATTTCTTCAAATATTCTCTGTCTTTCTCCAATTAGAGGCAAGAAACTGCCTTCCATCACCAATGTGACACTCTGTTCGGAACAAACACCAGCCTCCAACAGTGAATTCTAAAATTTGAAACATAATGTTTACATCCTATGTTCTAACTTAATAATAGCTTCAGGTGAAAGTGAAAATCAGAAGGCATACAACAGTGATAAGCGCAGGAGAGAAGTGGTACAAGTAAGGTACAATAAACCTTAATATTGAATATCACACTGGAAATTTATTTTTTATTTAACAGTATAAAACATAAAATATTCTTAGGACAAAAGACAATGGACACAATTATTTATTTAATAAAGAAAGAAAAAAAATGCAATTATTGTACAGGACTGAATTAAAACAATAAATGAAGTAAACCAATGTAAAATTATATTTAGAAGACTTATCAACAATAAAGTTAAGATACAACAGAAGCATGAGAAAAAAACATACAGGTAAGAAAAATGACAAAAGACATTATAAATTCATATTATCACATCTGACATAAAACATTTCTAGATAGATGGATTTATTTGGTACATGTAAACACCAAGGATAACACACGAAAATCTAAAGACCTATTTTTAGTGGGGTCTTTTTGGTGGTGATCGGACAGTTCATTGGGAGAAAATCTCTTGCTCTTTTCTGAAGAGTGTACAGCATTCTTTAATGTGCACGTGGGTCAAAATGACCGTGCACTATTGTATTACTTGCATTTTAGCCCTAAAGATGACAAAAAGGATCACCACGGTTCAGCGCAAAAACAGTGGTTACCACCAGTTTAGCCAAGTGAGCTATGCTGCTCCATAAATGCATGTAGTTCTGATACTAACCTTGTGTTTTTCCATTTCTACAAGACAATCTTGGCAGATTTGTTCATATTCTTCATGCATCTTGTCGAGGTATGCAACATGCACTTGTTCAATCTGTTTGTTTATGACACCAATTTCTTTATTCCACTGGTAGACAGCAGCCTTTGTAGAGCTCGGTGGCTTCATTTGTCTAAAGATAATGAGGGTAGGGAGTAGCTAATTTAATTAACAACTCTTGGTACATTTTGATAAACTATGTTAGACCTATATTTGCTGTCAGATTTCCGACATTTCAATTTGAAAAAAAAAACTTTGGTCAAGCTTCCACAGGTAGGCTGGAACCCTGGAGTAGCTATAGTAGGCCTACCTTTTTCTAGCCAATGTTGCTTGGCGGACTGCACACATAGGGCTTTTAATTCATTTTCACGGGGCGCACTTTGCCCACCTGTGCAGTATAACAACATGTCAGGTAGGGCAAAACATTATTCCTATCAAATCTCCATGGTTGCAGCTGTAGAAAAATAAGGGTGGGTGGTAGAAATTTTAAGGGTGGATGATGATAACACTGGTGAACTCTAAATAATAAGAGTGGATTTTAAGGATGGGCAAGGGGGGGTTAATAAAGGTGGATGGAGGGCCATGAAATTAGCTGTAGATTGGGTGGAAAACTGGATGACCCTGCCCACCATAACTATATCCTTGAATCAAATGAACACCATTTAGAATAGTTTCAGCCTCTTATTTACCATACCTACTGCAATGATTTACCTGAGTGAATGAATTAGATTGAGCCTTTTTGTATTCAATTCATCTTGCTCTTCCCTCAACTGCTGAATAAACTCTTCAACCTTAACAGGTTTTGTAATGCTATCACTCATCATGTAATTCCTGAAATTATTAAACATCAATTTTGAAGTTGATATTTATCCATAATTACATCAATCATGGTAGTTAGAATTATTCCTTTGGTATAAAAATAAAAGCATCACTCTAAACCTGTTTTTTTTTTTTTTTTTTTTTTTTTTTTTTTCAGATTTAGTTGTTGAGAACACCAAAGATAACACACAAACATCCCAAGACATATTCCCAGTGGGGTTCTTGTGGTTTAGATTACGCAGTACACTGGGATACAAACTACTCATTTCAGAAGAGTGTGCTATGTTCATTATAAAGGACATGAGCCATAATTGCACATGGGACCGACGGCTTAAACGTCTCTTCCAAAAGGCAGTGCGCTTTTTTGCACTTGCCTTTCAGGCCTCCAGCTGAAATGCAAGTACCTTTAACTTCATATGTAATGTGTAATTCGACTGGTCGTTCTTCATTAAGCCCAGTCTACCTGTGCAGTAATGAAATCCTACTTTAATGAAGATGGCCGGACAAATAGAAAACTGGTAAAATATTCAACAAAACAAAATGGCTGTTTAGTTACCATGCTAGTGTAGCCAAGGTAGTCTTAGCTTATGGCTGTTAGTTTTTATCAACAGATATTTTATGTGGACTAATATTATAATTATTATTTTCTTGAAAACTAATCTATATTAACACATGTTTTTGCTAAAACTGACCAATCAGCCATGTTTGTTTTGGTCACAACTCATTGCAAAGTAATGCACTCTGATTTCACTTCACGAACCATCCAAGTGAAAGTAATTCTCAACGAAAACTCCAGTTAAAAACGGCCATTTCTTTGTAAACCTGCATGCATATAAAATTGGCATAGACAGAACAAAAAAGAGAAATATAGGAAATAAAGAGGAAAGGAATGCTTACAGGAAAGCCTGGATAGCAACATCTGTGTTGAGTTTTCTCCAATCCTCCACTCGTCCCTCCCAAACACGATAGTGATCCTTCTCGCGCTCAATATCTGCCTTCAATAATCGAGCATATAGATTGCTGTAAGCACATCGATTATGAAGCACTGTCTGGTTGATGATCTGGGACTCTTTCTCGATGAATCTGTCAACGTCCGGCGGCATTAGATGCGCTATGCCTTCCAGACACTTAGCGTATGACTTGAGAATGCCTTTAATCTAATACCAAATTTTAAATGATGTTAAGAAAGCCTCGAAATGGCAAGACTTTTTTTATACCTTGTTTCGTCAGAGGAGGGCAGAGAGAAAAATAAAAATAAAATGTTGTTTTCTTACTTAACCAACAATTTTGCAAAAACATCCAGATGAAGAAAATAAAAAAAAATGTTGTTGATGAATAGAAACTGTGTAGCAAAAGGGATGGTTAAATACTTTAAATTTACATAATTAGGAAGACATATACATATCTTTTTATTGTAGATTTCAAGGCAGCTGCAGGCGTAATAAAAATTAAGAAAAACTTTAATTTTTTTCTGAAATTTCATAGTGGGTGCGCTAAATTTTAATAAAACTTTATTTTCACTTGAAATCATCATTATTGGCAGGAGCGGGTTCATTGAATAAGGTATAAAAAAGTAAGAAAGTAAGATAATAAAATTTTATTTATATTTTTTTTCTGCCCTCCTCTGAAGATCTGTAAAAAAAAATATGTTTGTGAAACAATGTATAAAAAAGTCTTGTTTGACTAGTGTGATAACACAATGAATAATAGGTACCTGCTAGGCATGCTTGGCTACTGCCTACAGATGGGTCTAGGCCCGTTGCCACCTGCCCTTTTGCCACCCGACCAATTGCCACAACCCCCTACAGATGTCAGTAGGTCTATATATACTATACATATATACAAAAGTTGAAGTGGGAATTAATGTGAATGTGGAAGTAACTTGCATAATTGACTAATACTATTTTGCCACCTGTAGGACTGCGACATATTCGCCACTGGCGTATCTAGACGAGGGCGCGGGAAACACGCCTCCCCCTCCCGAAAAAAATGATAAAATGATAAAAATCACTTCACATCACCTCATTTTGCGAGCTAGCGCACTCACTGTGGCCCCATTACCTTTGCCCCACTCCCATTTGACTCCTAGATTCACCCCTGATATTTGCCACTAACAATCCAGTAGTCGCAAAAACCACTTACTTTCTGCAGTCGCTGGTCTTCGTAGCTATTAAGCTGAGTATCCATATCAACAATCCATTCCCTGCGGAATTTTGACTGCTTTGCAATGTCTGCCCACAATTCCACCAGCTCTTGTAATGTATAATTTTGCAACTCCTACAATAGAAATGCAGATGGCTTTTCTATTACCAACACTTCTCATGATATAACATAGTTAGTAGCTAACTTTTAACTTTTAATCCACGAGATTAGGCTCTCATTGGCTGGAGGCCAAAGAAAAATGCCCAAAATCTTGTGTATTATTGAGTTTTTCATATGGTGTGGATTCATCTTAAATAGAAAAAAAAGTTTCATACAGCTGAATATATGTGCAGTAGGTGTTAGGATATACTTTCAGGGAAATATCTATGACATGAGGCAAAGTCAGCAGGCTCCAGTCAAAACCCTAGCATCCAAAGAGATAATCTCCCCATAGAGCCAATGGAATTAGATACATCTTGTTACAGATTATGACCAATGGACCTGTGATGCGAAAAACCAGAATTTGGACTCACAAGACAGGGAAGGCAAAAGAAATATTAGCAAAACTTGCAGGGGCGGATCCAGACTTTTTCAAAATCTTAATAATTACGTTAGAAACTGTCTCTTATACACATCTAGAGTGCTAATTTCAATGCCTTGAAATTTTAAAATTTAGTGGCAAAATGGGGGGGGGGGGGGTCTCCCCCCAGCCCCAACTGGATCCGCCCGTGACACTTGGAGGTATTACATGGCAACATTGTGCTCCAGATAGGAAGAAATGGATGTGCTTGTGCTTGGCAAACAATGTCATTATATTTCATGTATTAAGTTCTTCACATTTTTGGAAATATATTCAATATCTTCAATACTCTTGTTAAGAAACAAAGTATACGCAGCATAAATTAGTTTTAAAAAAATGTTTTAAAAAAATCAAAGAGCTGGATTTTACCTTGTCATCTCCAATTTTCGACAGCAACTGATCAATAACTGAAAAAAAAAGATGAAGCAACAACCTTATTAAGAGATATAGTATACAGCTTTCTCACTATCAATAACAATATAATATATTATTCCATTCAGTTCTTTTTTATATTTTGCAATTCACACTTTTTTCTGATAGGATACATAAACAATGCTCATCCATAGTTTATAGAAATAAAGTATTGATTCTAATAAGTAATGCCTCTACACAATAGCATCATTGAGACTATTCAATAAATCATTAATTCTTATTTTCAGTCCCAAATTCTGGAACAGTCTGTCATTGAACCTACAAAGATGTTCAAATTATTGCTCATTTAAATTATTATCTTTTAATAGCAGTTAAGGTAAATGTAGTTATGCACTCCAAGTAACAACAACAAAAAAAGACCACATATAGATGATTAGGGCTCTAGCTAGACCACCCTGTAAGATTCTTCAATCTTAAATTTGTAATTGGGAGGAAGAAGTAGAATCAATTTGGCGTCCGTACCTTCATCATTTTCTTGCATTTTTGATGTCAATTCTTTCCCAGTTGCAGCAATCTGTGGTTCTAGATCCTTTAAAAAAATATAGATTAAGAAAATTAAGTACTATAATTACACAAATCAGAAGTGATGTTGGTAGTCTATGAGCGACATAATAAAATGAATCTATTTATGGAATAAAATAAATAAAAGTTCTCACAGTGATAGGGACCTACACTTCAAATTTCCAATAATATTAAAAGGTAAGTATGCATGAGGAATGGATGTAGCATTGGTTTTGTACACCATTGCTTTATTCATTACTTAAACTATTTTTTTACATTTTTGTTATTGCTTTATATTTTCCCCATGTCACCAGTGATTCAAATCCTATATGGACAATAAATAAAAAAAACGTTCAAAGCATAAATAAATATTATTTTGTTTCTATACACAGTATGAAATGAGATTGTTACTACTGTACTCACATGAGCAAGGAGTGTCAAGTCCTGATGAAGATCTTCTACAGCTGCTTCATGTCTCTGCTGCCTGCTCTCTGATATTCTATCAATTATATCAGAACCAGCTTTCTTGGCACCTACATGTAAATCATACAGTATATTAGAATTTGTATTAATAACTGGTGTGAATGGAAATAATGTAATAAAATCCTGAATCCAATCCCATGTTATAACAAAGAGTATAGAACTGCCAGAGGGCCGACTCTCGGAGCTTCGTTGAAACGCAATCCTATCTCGAAAAGTACTACCACAAGTCCCCCTCAAAAGAACGTAAATTTTCGTTCATATCGAATGTGTACATTAAATAGAACACAATGTGTTGAGTTTCGAACTCTATTCAAATTCTAATAGGAATTCTATTATCCAACAGACACGTGTCGTTCCATAAACACTTATGTTCGTGTATAGAGTACCACAGTCGTGTCGTCACAACGCCAGGTGGCGCCCTCTGTTACCAACCAGACGTTGGTTACCGTTCATTACGCCTGAATGACTTCATAGGCTTTCTGGAATAGGCATTTTAAAATCTAATATTTTACCATCAAAATGTACTAAAAGCACAAAAGCTTGCATTATATTAGTTATCGAACACACATTTAATCATCAATTATGTTATGTTAATGTAAATTTCCTATCTTGATGTTGTAACATAATTCATAATTCAGCCTTTTTGGCTGCCATGTTTTATGCTTTTTATGAATTTTTGAATTTTGAATAAAATGCCATTATATACAAATTGAAATTTACAAAGAAAAACTAAGATACAACATCTTAATTACGTTAGAAATTGGGATCAATGGTTTGTCAGTGGAGAAAATGGCATCCGGTTGAATGCATTTTGCAACGATAGCAATGGAGTAGTATCACATGTTATGGTGACGCAACAGAGTAGTACTCTAGGTTTCTACACTGTCGTTTTATGGAACCATAGCAACCACTTCCGAGAGGCGGGGCTTAGCACAAAAGTCCATTAAGTTAAACAAATTAGAAGCTTACACATAACGTCACTTAGACCCCTTACATCTCGGGCTGCTGTTACATGTTCAGACTCAACTGATGCCTCTATTGACTTCAGAATCTCTTGCCTAAAAAAATAGAAAAAACAAAGGTATTCAAAATATATTAATTATTATCATAATCATTAAGATAATTTTAACAAGAACAGTAGGACTAGAAAAAAAAAACAACACAATGATAAAAAATTACTTAATGACAAGATCATTTAAATTTAAAAAAATTGAATTTAAACTAAAAAAGGTAGATTGAATGTTTTACTTAAAATTTATCAGTTCCCTTGATCATAATAGCAATATCACGACAATGTTTGACATTCATACAGTATTCATAGCAATCATGCTATTTTAAATATTTTTTTTTTATTAATCTATATTTTCATGAGGTTGCCCCTTACAACTCTAAGCTGACTCAAAGGGTCCATCAGAATATATTATTATATATTCAAAAAAAAATTAAATACCCCTTCATATCATACTTAATGCCAAGGAATGGCAATTCAATTTTTATTCAATCTGACAATAAGTGATGTTATAAAAATCGGAAATCCGATTTAAGTCGTAGAATTATGAAGGACAAACAATTACGGGAGGCATGGGACTCAATTCTCAATCGTAGGTTGAGATCTCACTTAAGTGTCAATTCATTATACATGTAAAATACTAATGAAATACATCATCTGATTTCCCATTGTAAACCAGTTATAACAACATCCATAATACCAATAACCTGATAACATTGTAAAATGCACAAATTTTCAATATATTTTCAAAGGTACATCATCATCAGAGAAAAGATACATACAAAAATAAAATTGGGCAAAGATATAATAGAAAAAATAATAATAATGCCATAATGAATTATGAATAACTAGGCCTAGGTTTGAATTATGAATTATGATCTTGATGTACAGTATCTCTTACTACTTGCACATTTGAATGTAGGCCCACATTTAATATTAATTAGCATGGTATGTAGCTAGAAGATACACACTTCACTTTTTTCAAACCCTAGATATACTTACCTATACAATACAGGATTTTCAGACTTGTCATCATTTGGTTTGCTCTCAATCCATAACATTTGACGTTTATTCAGCGGCCTTTCACACATATTCTTTCTGTTTTCTTTGACAAGTGGAACGCCATCATCTTTAGGAATCGTTTTCTTTGAATTTAACTTTGCTTTCTCTAATGCATTCACAAGTTGAACCTTGAACAGAAGAGTTTCAGAAATATTTCTAATATAATTAATGATAAATTTATTAATGGACATTTCGGCATGTCAATCAAACTTAACCAAAGACCAATCAAAACAGGGCAAGGAATACAAGCGCACATCATGTGTTTGTCCCACAAATGCACATGTTTGCGTATGCTTTTACACTGTCATTTTGTGGGACCTTAGCAACAATATCCAAGGGACCTTAGCAACAAAATCCAAGGGGCTGGGCTTGGTGGGAAGGTTGTTTTGTAATATTTTAAATATACAGCTGTTGTACTGTACATGAATGTCACTGTCGCTTTTTGTCTTAAAATTATTTGAAATGATGAAAAATTTGGGTGCGTCCCTAAGATAATATAAGATAAACTTTATTGTCACGACCACAAAACAAGGTGTACATGAAGTTTGGTTTCCTTGATGCTTACTGTAAACTACAATACATAAATAATACGGTATAAAAAAATATTAAACACAAGGAATTAATTGCAATTAAAATACAAAATACATGGGACTAAAATAAAATATTTTGGCCCTGCAACCATTTTATGCCCACCCCAGCTGTATGGCATGTGCAACGGGATTTTAAAAAGCATGCAACCAATGGTAGCCATAAACGAATCAGGCACAAACAGCTACAGACGAATAGACTCCGCTCTGTGTATGAGCACTTGTATGTGTGATACCTATCTGTTGATTGTTTGTGACAGTCGGAGTGGGTCGTTGATGAAAATGGCCTGTCGCGCTTCATGGAATTGCATTGGCTAATGCAATGTGTGCCCGGCATTAAAACTCGGTTTCCATAAAATCGCTACACTGCCGCTACAGTGTTTTCAGTGCAATCGTTGTACTGCGTAGTAGTCCCCGACACAATCGGGAAGGCTCCCTGATAGGATCGACCAATCAGCATCACCGAAAGCTGTCAGCGATAGCATGTAGTGATTATATGGAAACCCAACTTGACTAAAACTTACCTCTGCATCAAATATCTGTCTGTAGACCTTTCCACTAGGGATCACCTTGCAAGGAGGATGGGTGTCTGCTATTACCTTTGTTTGCAACATTTTTCAATCAGTCGTTCATCTTTCTAATCAACATATCATTTAGAAACAGATTACAAAAAAGGTGTGTCCATCAGACAATCAGAATAACTTTCACTTCATCTCATTTATTCGTCATAAAAAAACAATATTGTAAACAAGACAAAAAAACAACTGAGACAGGATTAAACTATAAAAGGGTCTACAACATAAAATACAAAACATATTAATTGCAGGAGAGTGCACACAAAAGTGCACACAAACGTGATAATAATAATAATAGCATTACATCAAAACAATACACAGCTAAATACAAAAACAATATTTAATTTCATTAATTTTTTCTTAAATCACAAAAAAAACCCATCATTTTCAACATAATTTAATCATTCTTTAGTCATAAAAAGTATTTCTCTGAAAAATGTTTTATTAAGCAATTAGTAGAGCCCGCCCAGTACACTATAGGAAAATTATTATACAAAGGTTAGATTTAATGCTTGAAAAAATTTCCTGAGGGCCTGCAAGGCCCGAAGGGAATTTTTGAATGCATTAAATCTAACCTAAGTATAATAATTTTCCATTTAGTGACTTTATAAGTCAATCACCGTCTTTTAATTTTAGATTTTTTATAACCAACTGTTGTAGCAGTCATCGGTTGCTATAGTGATATGATTAGTATACGTGTGCGTATATACATTTAGCTGTGCGTATGCTGATTTTTGCTCCTGCAATATGCGTTTAACTACCCATCAGCACAGTACAGTATGGATACGATGACGGATGAATAACTTTTGTAATTTGTATTGTGTTAGAACAAACTTGTTTGTAATGCTATTTTCATCAAAGAAATAAACATTTCAGCATTCGAGAGAGAATACAGTCTCTGACGTCCTTTTTGGTCAGTGCATGCAGACAGGTAAAATCGTGCGAAGATTTCATAAGTAGGCTACGGCCTAGTAGTAGTAGTAGGAGGAGGAGGCCAGTGATCCCTCCTGCCTGGCCGTAGACCTACATCTATATTTGTTCCTGGAGTCTTTAAAATAGGTCTAGAATATTCCTATTAATTCAGTTTGTTGTGTTTATGAGGGTCCATTGATTCAATGAATTCCTTAATTGTTCATACTTAATATTGAATTTGAAGTAACTTTCTTCGGGTTCTTAATAAGCTTAAGAAGTCACGATTGACTTATAATGTGGGTTATTGTTGCTAGAAAACAGCTCTCAATGTCATCGAACCACCATTTAGCCTAGGCTCTGGTAGCTGTTCTGGCGCTAATGCACTTTAGTACTCCACCCTAACTCTAACCTTAACAATAAGATTCTCATAGCAAGACTGGAGTTGAGGTTAAGGTTCGGGTTACGGTGGAGTACTAAAGTGCATTAGCGCTGTTGTTCTGCCATTTCAATATTGTCAGATTTTACAGATTACAGTAAAATAGATCATTTGTATCAGAGAATTTTTCAAATTCTTACCATTATAAGTTAGTTTTGTATCCAAGAGTTTATTTGCCAAAAATGAATGTAATAATATGATGCATAACAATTTTTTTTTTTGCCGTAGCAAAACCAACAATCTGCTATGGATCGGCCATCGTATACACGTTGTGTCGCGAGGCGAAGTACAGCACATAAACGGCAATATTTTTGATGTTGATAAAGTAATCTGTGTTTGAAAAAGTAACTAAATGTTACTTAAAGTGTTAAAATATACTTTCAGCTAATCATTATCTAAAGAAATAATTAAATATTAAGGATTAAAGTTGATATTAAAAACAGGATCATTTCGGGAGGACTGCTAGATTCTTCCATGCGAAAATGACGTCACGCATAACCGCAAAGCAAAACAGTGTCACGATTCCCTGGTGACAGACAACTACTAATTGTTTACATGCAACTTGATATTCTCTCACTCAGATACTTCTAAATGTTTATAAAACCTTAACCATTTTCTCGATTTTGCTCATATAAAGTTTTTTATATTACTGAGAATCCCTAGGGTGCGCGGCCCGGTATTCGGCCAGGGGATAAAAAAATTATTAAAATTAATAAACTGAAAGATTTCGTTTAACAGGTACTACACATCTGAGACATAATTTATATTGTTCTAATAATCACAAAGTATTACGAAACAAACCTGTTAATTTCTTACAAGAGGGCTAAATGTAATCCGATACCCCTAGTCCCAGTATTCGGCCTAGCGCTCCAATATTCAGCCAAGCGTGTCCCAGTATTCGGCGCCCTCTATGTTGTAGGTTTAATTTGTGTTTTTCTCATTACTCATGTGTGTGTGTGTGTGTGTATATATATATATATATATATATATATATATATATATATATTTATATATGTTTTGCTAATATGTTTTTATTTTTTCTTAACAGATCATCGCCGACATCAGTTAGATGTTTGTGAAGCATGAGAGTCGAATATTTTTAATTGGTTGCAAATGATGATATATAAATAATATTAAATAGATCAAACAACCATACTGTACTGTACATTAAGAATTTAATTCAAATCACTTTGTGGTTGCCTGAGCATACTTTTCAAGTTCTATTGAAGTCTGTAGTTGCTACAAACATTTATTTATTTATTTATTAAAAGTATTCAAAATTGTTAAAAGCTACAGTAAGAACCATTTTTAAGGACGTACACAAATAGACGAAAATAGGGCCATTTACCTTAGGTAGACTCATAGTTAATAGTTCTGCACACTGTTTAACAACAAATGACTTTTCAATTAGGATCTTTACTTTGGTTACAACTCTTAACACAACTTGACATCATCAATGAATAGTATGAACGATATAACATGGTTACTGGAATATATTTTGCTAACTTAAGAAGTCTGAATACATATATATATCTGTATATTTTATTACACAATTTCTTTATTCATATATTTACAGGACTACATTCGTTGAGAGCTATGCTACACGATGTATTATTATGTCCTTTATTCGGACACTCTAGTTACCTTTCTTTGATGATTCATATATATAATTTAACAGTGTTAACGGCTATCTTGATTTATATTATACGCAACTATTTGTTTTTAACCGTACTTATTGTGTAATGGAGTGTATCTGGTGGTATTTGAATCTGTTCAACCATGAAACCTCCGTGGTCTAATGGTTATGACGCTCGCCGTGAGAGCGAGAGGTCGCAGGTTCGAGTCCCGCCAGAGGCATTTTATTACACAATTTCTTTATTCATTTATTTACAGGACTACATTCGTTGAGAGCTATGCTACACGATGTATTATTATGTCCTTTATTCGAA